ACACACTCTGGCACAGACGTCCAGTCTGCACGCTGGAATACAACGCTATTATGTCATGGCCGTGACGCAGCTTCAAAAATTCGTTTCAAACCGGAAGTACGAATTTGCTTGAAATAACGCAAAAACAACCAATTTACACTTTTTACCGAAATATAGGTGTCCTAATAGTAGGGCTGTAACGATACACCAAACCCACGATTCGGTTCGTATCACGATTTTTGACCCACGATTCGGTTCGTATCACGATTTTTTTTTTCGTGTGGGGTAGGGAAAAAAAAAGATTTTTAAAACTATTTTTTATTAAACTACATTTGAAAAATCTTAATAAACTAAACATCAAAGAACAATATTAACTATGCAAATTATTAACAATATAAATAGCCATATATAAAATAAATAAATAGCCAAAGCTATATCACTTCTGTTTTCTTTGTAACAAAATACTGTTGAAAAATCAAACAGAACTAAACTTCATTGTGTAGACGGTTCAAGCACATTGAAAATTCTTTTTCAATCAAGTTCTTTTACATAGAAAAAGTAAATTAAATGGCTACTACGGATGCTCATTTCGGTTAATTTTGCTAACCGACATCCGCCGCTCATTAATCGGTTATTAACGGTTAACTGGTCAGATTACTATTAATTTTATATTAAACAAATTGACGTGTCTATTTTGTGTCTGACACATTAAATATTGCATTTTAAAATAGGCTACTGATTTATTTTTAAATGCTAGCATATTAATAACAGAACAGAACAACAGAGCATCTTCACGCACCTGCAGTGTTTAACAAAGAAAAGCAGAATAATCTAAATAAAATGAATAAAATAAATAGGACTGCCCTAAATTATTTTCATTTAAATAATTAATTTATATTACAAAACGAAAATACTGACTGATTCTTTTTAACAACCGGCATAGGCTGTTTTTTTCCAATCATGTTTTTTCTTCCGTCAAATAAAAATCGCAGACTTCCTCAAATTGCCCGCTCCATGGAAAATATGCATTTATTTAATGCCCCGCTGTTATTATTATAATAACAAAACCTTTTACATTTTTAATAGAAATCATTATTTTAAAGAATATGTCCTGATGGTTTCCTCTCTCTCCCTCGCGGATCAAGTGCGCGTGCTGCGTGATGAAAAGACAACAACAACGTGCGCATATTTAGACTTTTTGTAAACAGTTTTGTTGTTTAAATATGCTATTGCATTAATATGCATACATGCTTTATAAGCCGAAAACAAGGCGCATCTCACTGCCTTTATGTTGACAAGGAAAAAAAGAAGAGAAGAAGCGCACGGTCCTCTTATGAAACGACTGAATCAGCTGGGTATCGATTGTGCATAAGTGTTGCTGTCTGTGTTGTTACAATTGTAATATTTAATACTATTGTGATATTCAAGATTTGTACATTCATACAGCTCTGGATAACTTAAAACAGCGATTAGACCTTCAGAGCGGCATTAATGTGTCATGAAGTAAAGCTAAACGGCTATAAACTCCAGCAAGATAGAGTGATTATATGCAGAGCCATATACCTTTATCTCTAAATAAAGTATAACTATAGAAACTGTGTTCATCTTAACTGAAAGCTTCGTCCTGTTTCCTGGCCTCACGGCATTGCGCACCTGTCAGTCAGCACGTAACTTTAACTCTCAAAGGGTTAAACAGAAAGCGCATTGCACGGTCACAGAAAAGTTTCCTCTGCAGAGGAGTCGGGGCATCTGGTGAACGCCCATCCCTCTCTGCGCAGCCACATTAACAACAATGCTTTGAAAGCACTGGCAATGTTACTGCCGTTGTCTGTTGTCAAGCGGGGTTAAGTTGGTTTTGTTTTTGATATTCCTGACACATTCAGACGGTCCCTTACTAAGAGCTCCGTGCGAGCTCTCCCGGCTAAACGCTTATTGCGAGGGCTTAAACGGAGAAGTGCTCGTAATGTCGAGCAGAAAAAAAAAGTGTTTCCTCACGTTCTTCTTCAACTAGCTCAACTTTTGCAGGCACGCGTGACGTTATTGGAAAGGTAGTCACGGGGTGTGTCGCGATTCTCCCTTATCACACCACGACACAGGATCGTATATCTGAGTGTCGCGATTTCGATTTCATATCGTGTATCGTTACAGCCCTACCTAATAGTGTTTTTAGCAATGTGGGACACATATACGACTGTCAACAGCTCAAAAAATGTGTTTTGGTGTTTTGTGACCCTTTAAATATGCTTTTGTTTAACAAAGGAAAAAAAACATCAAACAGGTTTGAAACAAGGGCAAGTAAATGATGACAGAATTTTCAGTTTTGGGTGAACTAAGGCATAGTTCGGACTGCATAATTTTAACCCCAATTTTGACTTGCCGACAGGTAAGTCAACATGCCAACGCATGTCTTAAATTACAGGCAAATCGGCGCTTGTTCACGCAAGTAACAATCACACAGTGTGTGAACTATCAAAGATGCGTTCTGAGAGAAACGCCTCCGAGTCGCTGACACCCGTGAGATATTTGGCACGCTAAATATCTGGAGCTGTCAGCAATTCAAGTCATGCTGTGTGGAATGTGTTCTGATTGAAAATAAAATCGGCAATCACCTACAGCCAATGAGAGAGCAGGATCCACTGGGCCAGCGGGAGGTTGGAGGAAAAGTTAAAAGCGTTTATTTTCAGTCTTTTTGGACCCAAGAAATGGCAGAAAAACTTTCAAATGAAAATCTGGCAGCAGCAACCATGTCTTTTTGACGTGTCATCTAAGTAATATCACAACTGAGTTGACAAAAAAAAAGTTTGAGAGAGGTGAGCAAAATTTAATTTTTTAAGTAAATTTTCTACCTAACTAAAGGCTTCTTTCTCATTATTATTATTATTAAAAAAACATCACCTCTCATTATTTCCATGTCACTTCTCACGTGTGTTTGGTTGGAGACGTAGTTTGTGGACCGAGACAACGTTGTCGATGATTCTTCCTATTGTAAAGTCGTGCAGTGTCCATATCCATCCTACATTGTGAACACTGCACCGATAGAATGTTACCCCAGATAGTCATGCAGTGTGAAAACATCTGTGACATCGCTACTTTGAAAACCGTGCAGTCTGAACTCGGCATAACTCTCACCATTCATCGTCAATCTATGAATCACGAAGGACCACAGATTCAGCTAAAATTCTTCTTTATTGTTCTACTTAAGAAAAAATTCACCTAATCTTGGATGACCTGTAGGTGAGTTTACATTTTAACTTAACTCTTTAACCTAAAATAACGTGTCACAGCCAATCTTGTGTCTCAAGATCCACATCAGTGATGTGTTTATCTAAGACATTTCTATAAAAGTGGCTAAAAAACCACAGTTTAACTAAGGCCTGTACCTGGGTAAAATGAACCCCAGTTTGTGAAGCCAAGCCTTTAGATATAGTGTGATAAAATTAATAAGGGGAAAACTGACCAGTCAGATTCTTATGTGATTGTTTTGTTTTTGTTTTTTGTTTTTTTTCTACAGAATTGAGCAAACCTCAAATTTTCCTTAATTTATTTTACAAACAAGCACATGGTTTTAACTCCTTGCAAATACATTTAGCCATGAAGACATCTGAAATACTTCCCTGCTATGTTTGAGAATGACAACATAGCAGATATGTCCAAATTCCATTCATCCTACTCCTATTCATACTGTATAGAAGATCATACATTTTACATTCATTCATTCATTTTCTTTTTGGCTTAGTCCCTTAATTTAATCTATTAATCTGGGGTCGCCACAGCGAAATAAACCACCAACTTGTCCAGCACGTTTAAAGCTTCCGGACAGTTTTAGCTTACCCAATTCACCTGTACCCCATGTCTTTGGACTTGTGGGGGAAACCAAAGCACACGGAGGAAACCCATGCGAACGCAGGGAGAGCATGCAAACTCCAACTCATGCCAACTGTCCCAGCCGAGGCTGGAACCAGCGACCTTCTTGCTGTGAGTCAACAGCAATAACTACTGCACCACCGAGTCACCCATACATTTTACAAACGGCCATGAATTAAGTTCAAATTCAGAAGATGTATTAAAAAATACTAATTTCCTGAAGTTCAAGATGATCTGTTGAAGATCAAAGCAAACACCAGAATAGGAATTTAACTTATTTTTGAATGTGTATGGGTATGAATGTGTATTTCAGAATCAGCTGATCTATCAAAAAGTTTTTTTGCATGACTATCCCGGTATACAATGTTCTAAAAAGGAGAAAATATGCTGTGAGTGGAACTAAACATGTTTTCTTGACTGGTTTCAGCTGATTAAAAAACAGAAACTCAAATAATCACTCATTACAAACACAAAACGTGTCTAACCTAGAAACAGATGAGCTACAGCAGAATAAGGCCACATCTGGAAATGCTCCTTTACCTTCACATCCTTCATATCCTTTTTAAGATATATATTGGTCAGACTTGTCAGCTGACAGCAGCAAATTGAGGCAACAGTTCTCATCAAAACTGGACAATGGAAGATTGCAAAATGGTTTCCTGATCTAAAAATCAATATGGAAACTGCAGGCCAATATAGACAAAATCTCTAGGGAATGGTTCCAGCACCTTGTTGAATATACCACAAAACTTAAGATATGACAAATATGTCATTTTTATGAGTTATGTGATTTGCTTTAGATATTTGTATGTGGTCTAATTTAATTACACTTTACAGCCTTCTTTATTCTTTTTATACCCTCCACTCAATAAGTGATTTATGACAATGTGTATATTTAATTTTCATCTATTATTACCCAAGTACACATCCACCCACAGAAGGCATACTGCATACAATGATAAACTAGAGGAAACAGGAAAGAAATCTAAAAATTAATTGTGTGTGGATTTTGAACTCTTAATAACAGTGAATTAAACATTAGTAACCAAGAAGGGTGTTGACTTTTACAATGTCACGCTCCTATAATCCGCCTTAAGTGCTGCTAATGCCACATGCACACGCTGTTTGCAAACAATGGAGGGAAAAGCGTTACTTACTTGAATCTTCCTTGACAATGCTGACACTGATCTCCTGTCCATCCCTGCTCACAGACGCAAGTTCCATTAACGCATCTTCCATAGATGCAGTTTTTATCACATGTTTTAGAATAGGACCCTTCAGTGCACACTAGCAGGTAAAACACCATAAAGGTAAACAGGTAGGTCCTGACATTGTGAGTCCTACACCCCATGAAGCAGCGTGGAGAAATTCTGCTTCTGCCAAAATCCATCCTCAAGTTCTCCTCTGACGTTTACACAGAAATGAGACTAGACTTCGTTATACTTCAAGCTTTTAACTGATGATTCTATGTATAGCACATAAATATTCCTCATTGTTTTGTTACAGCGTATAGTTTGTTGTCATTGCCACAGTGCGTTAATTTATGACCCACCTATCACGTATACCGTAATGTTAACTTTCTCCAGTTTGCTAAGTTCTCGCGGTTGACAATCTACCTTAGATAGTTATTCCAAAAAGCATTTCGTCCAAAACGACACCAATTCACAAACAGCGATGTTTTAGATACAAATGTGCAGTTATGTTCGTAAACTGTGCCACCATAGTCGCAAGAGTAACGGCGTGTTCCAAGCATCCCTTTTCCAAACAGCGAGTCGTGCTGTTGTTGCCGTTTCGCCTTTGTTTCCCTTTTAGAGATGCACTCGGAGGAGAGTGACAGCACAACTCCCATCCAAAACAATGTGCAGTTCCCCGTCGCTGCTCCTGCTGAGCTCACGGCCAAATGACGAGTCTTACTACGGGGAAGGCTTGGCTTATGAATATTAACTTAGTTACGTTGACGTTGCTCGGTACCCTTTCCCGAGCGCTCAATTGGTCACATGACTCACTAAATATTCAAGAGCTTGTCCCTTTTCATAGTATGATGGGGAAAGTGTGAATTAAAGTCATAGCGCCTTACTAATTTGTGTGGAACGACGCGTCATTCATGCGGATTGTTAAAGTTGTGATTTCATTCTTGGCCCTCAATCAAAATTTGTTTTTTTAAATTTAAGAGATATAATTTTTTTTTACAAATATGATTTACATGATGATGTTGACAACTTTATTTTATTAATGGATATATTAATAATTGTAACTGAAAAAAATAAGATGTTTCAAAACTGCAAATATAAAAAAAAAAAAAAAATTACTAAATCTATTGATCCTTGTCGTTTTGTTCTAGCTGAGTACTTTTATTCAATAATTCATTCATTTTCTTATCGGCTTAGTCCCTTTATTAATCAGGGGTCGCCACACCGGAATGAACTGCTAATTATCCAGCTTATGTTCTACACAGGATGCCCCTCCAGCCGCAACCCAGCGCCAGGACACTCCTGCATTCACACCCACATTTCGGCCAAAACGAAAACAGAGCACTCGGAAGAAACCCATGCGAACAAGGGGAGATCATGCCAACTCCACACAGAAATGCCAGCTGCATGACCCAGCCGGGGCTCCAACCAGCGACCTTCTTGCTTTAAAGCGATACCACTGCGCCACCTTGTCACCCCAAGTAGGCCTACATTTATTTTTATCTATCCTTTTTAATAGTTTAAATGTGTCTTGCTCTGTTGTTTACTGTTTTGTGTTTTTTTTTTTTTTTTGGGTTAGTTTTTTTGGTTTCTTTTTGTCAAGGTCATATTAAAAGGATAATCAATTTAAAAATAAATAGCTGTCGTCATTTTCATTACTTGCCAACATGTATTTCCAAACCAGTATGACTTTGTCTTTTGTAAAAAACAAAGAATGCTCAGTAATTTTTAAGAAGGCATTAGAACAAAGGTGTTGTTTAATTTTGATTATATGGTCATATTTATTATTAGTCTGTAACAGCTGGATAACTTTATTCATTCATTCATTTTATTTTCTTTCAGCTTTAGTCCCTTTATTCATTAGGGGTTGCCACAGCGGAATGAACCGCCAACTTATCCAGCATATGTTTTACACGGCTGATGCCCTTCCAGCTGTAACCCAGTACTGGGAATCATCCATACACATTGTTTCACACACACACCATGGCCAATTTAATTTATTCAATTCATTTATAGCATGTCTGTTCAATTGTCAATGTCAATTCACCTATAGCAAATGTTATTGGACTATGGAGAAAACCCACATCAACACTGGGAGGACATGCAAACTCCACACAGAAATGCCAACTGACCCAGCCAAGGCTTGAACCAGTGATCTTATTATATAACTTTATCTATGTGCATATTTAAAGTAAACACAATCAACTTAACGAGTGGCACAGTGGCTAAGTGGCTATGGTTGCCTCACAGCAAGAAAGTCACTGGTTTGAGTCCTAGCTGGACCAGGAGGCCTTTCTGTGTTGAGTTTGCATGTTCTCCTCATGTCTACATGGGATCTTCTGGGTGCTCCAGTTTTCCTACACAATCCAAAGATATGCAATGTAGGACAATTGGAACTTAATTGCTCATAGAGTGTATATGGAAATGTGTGTGTGTGTGTGTGTGTTTCCCAGCACTGGGAGTTGTACTTTATATGTTGTGTAAAACAATTGTGAGAGAAATCGGCAGTTCATTTTGCTGTGGTGACCCCTGATATATAAAGGAAAAAAGTCAAAGGAAAGAGAGTGAGTGATAATCAACTTAAAGTTCACCCATAAAAAAAAAAATACTCAACCTCAAGTAGTTCCCAACTTTTATGAGTTTCTTAATTATGCTGAACACACAAGAATATATTTTTAGAAGAAATCAGAAAAACTGTAACCAATGACATCCATAGCAAACAGTATTACAATAAAAGTAAATGGTAACAGGTTTGGAAAAAGTAAAGGGTGAGTGAATGGTGACAGAATGTTAAGTTTTTGCTGAATTATCCCTTTAATAACCAGAGAATTTAATTGAAAATTATTGTACACTAAAACTAGAATAAATCTTATTGCAATCAGATAACATAAACCTGTTTTCAAAATACAGGCTTAATAAAATATAAAAAAAATATGAAAATGTAAAAGCTGGATGATTTGTGGATGGGTGTTGGGGTGATTGGTAAGTAAGGAAAGTAAAGAGGGATGCCACATATATGTCCCATATATGCCAGAAACATAAATGAACAACCCATTGTTATACAATATCTTGCCTAATTCTCCTAACCTGCCTAGTTAACCTAATTAACCTAGTTTACATTTACATTTAGTCATTTAGCAGACGCTTTTATCCAAAGCGACTTACAAATAAGGACAAGGAAGCAATTTACACAACCAAGAGCAGCAATGAATAAGTGCTATAGGCAAGTTTCAGGTCTGTAAAGTCTAAGAAGGGAAGTATTAGTATTATTATTATTATTATTATTTTTATTTATTTATTTTTTTTGGTACAGTTAGTGTGATATTCAGAGAGGCAATTGCAGATTAGGAAGTGTAGTGGAGACTAAATAGTTGAGTTTTTAGTCGTTTCTTGAAAGTAGCGAGTGACTGCTGTTCTGATGCAGTTAGGGAGTTCATTCCACCAACTGGGCAGATTGAGCGTGAGCGTTAAGCCTTTAAATGTCACTTTAAGCTGTTTAGAAGTGTGTTGAAAAAATATCTAGTCAAATATTATTTACTGTTATCATGGCAAAGATAAAATAAATCAGTTATTATAGATAAGTTATTAAAATTATTATGTTTAGAAATGTGTTGACAAAATCTGCTCTCTGTTAAACAGAAAACAGGGAAAAAATAAACAGAGGGCTAATAATTCAGAGTGGCTAATAATTCTGACTTTAACTGTATATGTCCCATATTATGTCAGAAATATATATGTCTCATGTATGCCAAAACATATATGTCCCCAACCTGTAAAGCACATATGTGTCCACAAACATATATGCCAGAAACATTTAAGCCCACATATACGCCTGAAACATATATGTCCCCTACATGTATAACACATATGTCCAATATACTGTATGTGAGAAACATATAAGTCCATGTGTATAAAACACATATTTGTCCCATAGGAACACATATGTCCATGAATGTAAAACACATGTAAGTCTGATATATGTAAAACACATATGAGTCTCATATAAGTCAGAAACATATATGTCCACATATATGCCAAAAACATATATTTCCCCTACATGTATGGTACATAAATGTTCCATAATTATCAGAAACATATATGTCCACATATTTGCCAGAAACATATATGTCCCATTAATGTCAGAAACATATATGTCCCCTACAAGTATAGCACCTATATGCCCCACATAAGTCAGAAACATATATATCCACATTTATTCCAGAAACAAATATGTCTCATATATGCCAGAAACATATTTGTCCCCCACATGTATAGCACATATATGTCCCATATATATCAGAAACATGATCACATATTTGTTAGAAAAATATATGTCCACATTTATGCCAGAAACATATATATATATATATATATATATATATATATATATATATATATATATATATATATATATATATATATTTGTTTTGCTCCTAGCCCGACTGTATTACCATGTTTACTTGTTTGTATATTTACCCCTTTTATATTTTTTTCTTTCCCACTGTATGACTGAGACTGTATTCGTATGTGCTGATGTATCAAAATAACCGACGACTAATAAAAAAAAATAAAATAAATAAAAATAATTGTTAGTTGCAGCCCTAATAAGCAGAGAATAAATGAAAAGGGGCAGAGGGGTCGACAGGAAAGGGGGAATTGGGATTGCGGTGGCGATCATAAGCGGTGAATAAGTCAAGAGCAGGGTGGTCGGCGACCATAATCGGGTAATAATTGGGGGGTTAGGGTCCTTGGGTCATGCGTGAAAGTACTGCTAAATACTGGCGGATATGTGCGAGTTGGCAACCCTGCATGTACCCTATCAGTGTTGCAGGAGCTTGTTAGATGGAGTATAAAGGTCATA